CCTTCACAGGAAGTTTTCAATAACGTTACACAGCAAAGACTCATGTGAGTGCAGCTACAAGGAGCAAGTAGAGGAGGAAGTATTTCAGTAACAGTGCCACAACAACATCACATGACTTTAATAGCAGTGAAGTTATGCATTCATTTAAGTATTTATCATAAAAATGGGCCCCTTCCAGACATATGATTACGTAATATATTCAGTGGTAAGGATGAACGATAATATCGGCCAATATCGGCTTTAAAATTAATCAGAATCGGTCAACATGCTTTTTCTTAATTTCCACAAGGAACTGATATTACATGCACTTCTCACAAAAATTAAGGAAACACTTAAATCACACATCAGATCTTGATGAATGAATTATTCAAGTTGAAACTCTTCATTGATGTACACTGTATAATTTGTTGAGAACAAAACGACGTAACAGTGGTCAATGGAAACCAAAGTCATCAACCCACTGAGGGCTGGATTCAAAATCATGCCTAGAATAAAAGTAAGACACTGAAATCACAGGCTGATCCAACTTGCGGGAATTTTATCACAGCAACTCGTGACACGGTAGTTTGTATGGACCCTGCGTCCCTGTATGCACTCCTGACAATGTCTGGGCATGCTCCTGATGAGTCCTGATGATGTCCTGGGGGATCTCCTCCCAGACCTGTATCAGGGAATCAGTGAGCTCCTGGACAGTCTGTGGCGGTACTTGGTGGTGTCCCAAAGGTGCTTAGTTGGATTAAGGTCAGGGAAACGTGAGTGACAGTCAGTGGCATCAGGTTGATGCTCTTCTATGGCCCTGTCCAGCTCTCCTTATGAAACGGCCGGTCTCCAACTATCTCCTCCATGCTCTTGAGACTGTGCTGGAAGACACAGCAAACCGTCTTGCAACCGCACGTCTGGACGTGCCATCCTGGAGGAGCTGGACTACCTGCAACCTGATGGAGCTGCAGGTAAGGCCTCATGCTACCAGTAGTGACAAGGACACTAGCAGAACACAAAACTAGAGAAGAATCAGTCAGGAAGGATAAGGAGAGAGCAACTGCCTGTGACCACCACATGTAAAACCATTCCTTTTTGGGGGGTTGTCTTGCCTTTGCATCTCCATTGCACCTTTTCTCACTTTCATTTGCACCAAAGCAGGTGAAACTGATTCACAATCACTTGTGCTTCCTAAATGGACACATTGATATCCCTGAAGTTTAACTGACTTGGTGTTATACTGTGTACATTGAAAAGTGTAGTATTTCCTGTCTCCATCTACTGATGGGCCATCACATGCATAATATCCTCCTAAGACCCTGTGTCTTCATATGAGATCATCACATTTTTGGTTAACTGGACCATGTACTTCATTTTGCTTAACTTAGACCTGCTGTCCTCATTTGTGGGCTTTTTTTGTGTGCCATCTAGTGGTAGTAAGAGCACAACATAATCCATGTAAAAACAAGATGGCAGCCATCTCTGCCAAGTCAGTCTGCCGCCAATCCTGACACAAAAGTGGACAAGGTACAAAACCCGATCACTTTTAATGGTTGAAACTTTTTTATTTATGATTAATAATGTTTGTAGTTTGATATGCCATACCAGAGTTGGTGATTGTGGGAACAGTAAAAAGAAAAACGAAGATGGATTTTGTGAGTTTTATTTTGTTTCTGTGGACTTCTGAATGAAGTGTGTTTTACAATGATGAAATTACTGTTTGTTTAAATGTAGTCTGGTGGGTTTGTTGCTTGGTAAAGAAAAATGATCTTTCTCTTTAACAAAAAGGTCTGTCTCTGGAGGGATCCTTTCCATTATGTTGTCAGTCACTTAGAACAACAGTCTGAGCCTGTTAGTGGCAAAACAAGCACTTAAGTGGACGTAAACTGACTGAGTGCATAAATGCCATGTGTGGCTACACTGCAGCTTGTCTTACCACTGCTAGCTGCAGCACATTTGCTCAATACTGGACCAATTTTAACAATTGTTGTCTACATCAATCACCTTAGACACAAAAACATGGGAAAATGGGGTTCAGGTTGATAAATACCAAAGTTGCCCTTTAAGTAATTGTACAGAAGTGTTAAATGTACTTAAAGGATTTTCAAGTCTGTCTACAAACACCAGTCAGGTACCTCTATGAATACTGAAACAGGTTTTGCTTGTTGTAATTATTCCTTTTGTTCATACTGATCGCCTCCCTAAAGTGCTTTTACTGTAAGAAAGAAGGAAAGAAAGCATTCATTTATTTGTCCCTAAATTTATTTTTCCACTCTGTTCTTACTTAGACATTACACACACATGGATACAATACGAAATACAGACACATACACAAACAGGACCTATATACATGTATTTATGGAGAGAGATGTCAGAGTGATAGGGCTACATATGGACAGGCGTCTGGAGCAGTTTAAGGTTTGGTGTCTTGTTCAAGAGCATGAACTAGCACCTCTCCAGCTAGCAGCCCATGCTCTGTATCTGGTCCTTAGGGGCACTTGAACCAGCAGCTTTCCTGTTCCCAATTCAAAGTCCCCCCTATGGACTGAGCTACTGCCACTGCTGAGCTGAGGGGACAAAATCCACATTCTTAGTTCTGCGCAAAAAAATGTATTCAACAGATGTTCGACAGATGTATTCAACAAGAGTTCAACAGATGAGGTGGATGTCTTCCAGAAGAGGAAATTTTGTACTTAAATGTCTGTAACTTTGGAAGATACACAGACAATCGTGAGAAGTATCAAAAGTAAAAGTTCCCATTATGCAGAATGGCCCTTGTCCGTTTTATAGTCATATATCTGTGTATTATTGTTGATGTACAAGCATATAAGCTGTATTAATTTTGTAGTTGGTTAAATGCAGAGCTACAGTAACTTTTACTGCTACATATAATAATTATGATGTGATTGTATTCATAGCGTATTTACCAAAACAAAGTATTAAGTGCTTCTCACAGATAAAATAAATAGCAAACAAAAATGAACAGGCAGAGATACAAGATTAAATTACGATATACTCTCCAATTAAAGTACATTTTTAGAAGACCTAAATATGAATAATTTACATACATCATGTACTGTTGTTGCCCATAGTTTAATCTGTAACAATGCAACACATTTATAAACTGTTTCTTTGTTTTATATTTAAATACTAACCTGTAAAGTAACTATTGACTAAACATAGTCGAGTTAAAAGTAGGTAATATTTGCCTCTGAAATGTTGTAATCTTGAAGTGTTAAGTAACATAAAATAGAAATAATCAAGTAAACTGCAAGTTCTTCAGAACTACACAGCACTTGATTTAATGTACTTTCCACTACTGAATATATGACATTAAATTATTAATTAATTAGACACATTTATTTTTAAGTAGTATTTCAATTTTGTATTGGAACTTAATATACTTTACACATGGAACACAAAGTTAATGGCATTTAGCATAACACATTCACATAGTTTGCTTCTAAGCTCTGAGATTTTCATGTGTAAATGTAAAACTTGCTACAGGCAGTGTAAACAATACTGCCACTTTCCTATATTTACAGTCAATGGCGAAAGGTGGTCACGATGAGCTCCAGTGCATGCTATTATGACAGGCCCCAGTGCGCACTGGTTACTACTACCAACAGTGTGCCTTACTGCTGGTTTTATGTTATATCCGCTTGCAGATGTGTTCAGCTTGTCAGTCTTGAGAGATTTTGCACCTAAACGAGCTGCTGTAAATAGTATCGTCTTGTTACATTTCATTAAACAGAGACTGGATATTGGGCAACATCAACATACATGTTACCCAGCAATCATTATTACATATCTGTATATGTCAAAAACTACAAAAGAAAACAGGAAATTATTAGTTTAACTAAATAGGGTTTTTTTTTCAGTTTATGTATAATAAGCATGTAATTTGTTATAGATTTATACTATTTTACAAAAACAGAAAACCATGATGGAGATGGGTTTGCCTTTTTGAGGGCATATATAGAAAATCACACGATTTTTAATTTTATTTGAGCTCTTTGAACACTGGCATATTTCCAGATGGTAACGGGGCCCCAGTGCAACCACACTGCCTGCACTGTCTATATTTACACCCCTTTTTCTAGTGCTTCCAGTCTTATTAATTCGGCCCTTTCATTTTTGGTGTATTACATGGTGAACACAAGCAGTAGCACCACCAAATGTTGGCCACAGCCACCCTGATACAATTGCTGCTTTTGGTTTTGGTGCACTACCCCAAGATTTTCAGTGGCCCCATCTGACCACACCTATGGAGAATTTCTGGGGGTGCCACTGGACACATGGTGGGTCAGAGCTGCTTCCCTGGATTGGATTTCTTCCTAAATGTTGACACTGCCTTTTTTCAGCAGCAGAATATGTGTATTTAAAAAAAAAAAAAAAAAAAAAAATCACTCAGATTTCGTTTTTCGGAGTTTGTGCTGAACAAGATCCCTGGAGATCAGGCTCCCGCAGTACTTGATTGATTGAAATGGACTAAGTCCACTCCCAATCCTATTTTTTGGAATTGATGTAAGGAGTGGGGAATAATATGGACTGCATGAGTCCAAGTTAAAGAGAAAATGAATGACTTTGCTCATATAATCAGTGGCATTTATCAATCAAAAGGCATCACTGAGGGTGTTGTGGTGCTTACAGGCGCTCCTAACAGTCGCACACAGCTTGGCAACTAGAAAAGGAAAAAGTACCGAATATACTCATACACCCCAAATCAAATATGCATCCTTTTTAAATCAAACTTTAAAATTTCGAGCTTTACGGTTTTAACTGATGATAAAGCAAGCAGTTGTATTCGTCACTCTTACATGTAGTTCATCAACATACTGTAATGTGCACATCAGGATGAATTGTGATAACATTTGTGATCCTCATTTTACTTCTATCAGTGTAACTGACCAATTAGTACAGAAATGTACAATACAAAAGTCTAAATGACATTGGTAATGTAAGTTCAGTCATCCGATTAATATCAGACATTTAAGAAAAGAAAAGGCTCGACAGTGATGTTCTGGAGGAGGTTGAGTTTTATTTGGAAATCTGACAGGCATGGCTGAACAGTGAGCTCTCACTTTAAACAAAACAAACAAAAAAATCAAGACAGCAGCACTACAGGTAAACAATACTAGTGTTTTGAGAATGTCATATTAAACATAAAGACTTGCACACACATTATGCACTCAGGTCATTCACACACACGCGCACACACACTGTCAACTCCATGTCAACATGTGGACATCCTCCATTAATAATTCACACTACATCCAGAGGAATTCCAAGCACTTTGAACAAGAACCCACAGTGCAATTAATCTAACTAACTATACACAGATAATTTATATATTTTTATGTATATAGGGTATTCAATAAACAGTATTCAGTATCAGTAACAGTATTCCATTTAGACAGCTTCATAAAGTCAAAATCTTCATAACTTTCCATAAATAGTGAAAAAAAATATGTATAGACAGCTCTTCACGACTGTGTTTCAAACATGGTACCCGAAAAGAACATGTATAAATAAAAATACTAGTGTGCATGTTTCTTCAGCAGTCTCATAACGGAAATGACAAAACCACCAACGGTAAACAAAAGTCAAAGGAGGGGAATGGGCAGAGGGATAAACGTTGATACTCACACTCACAGCACAGACTGGTTACTACATTTACAGGGGGTGGAGGGACTCTGGATCACTGTACAGGTTAAGATCAGACAACAAGTCAAGCAGACTGTCCACACATCATCCCACAACAACCAATACGTCTTCATGCCCGTTCAGTACTCACAAGACCTGACACAACTGGATGGCTTTAAACAATATGGATAGATCACATCTACTGAGGACACAGCTGTCAAGTCAACCGCCAACATGTTTCTGTTGCCATCCCATCCTGTCAGACCCACGGGGTGTAATGGAAGTAGGTGAAAATCTCCTATTTGTTCTTGCTGCTTTGATGTGGAATGAATGAGATGGTGTTTGATGCGTACACTTATTTTGTAGATAGGATGAGGGCCACGATGAGGCCGTAAAGCCCCAGCACCTCAGCGAAGATCAGAATCAAGATCATGCCCACGAAAAGCCGGGGCTGCTGGGCGGTGCCTCTCACGCCGGCGTCGCCCACGATGCCAATGGCGAACCCAGCCGCCAGACCGCTCAAGCCCACACTCAGACCAGCACCGAGATGCAGGAAACTCCTGATACAGAGAAACCAAGGATAGAGTATCGTCATTGCACAAAGTAATACTGTTTGATACATTAAATAATAAAGTATATATGTGTCATCGCTCATCTTGTAAAAGTTGAAATATTTATAACAATTCATCCAAAACTCTGGAATGTATACCTAAATGTATCCAATAAAATGTGGTTTGGGATGACTCACTAACCCCACCCATCACATAAAACCACACTTGAGTATCAGTTTGTAGATCATAGCAGTTAGCGTGAGTGGGACCATGAGTCAGTAAATGTCAAAAACTTTGTTTACATTTTAAAATACTGCGGTCGAAGTGTAATTTATTCATCTCTCCCTCATGCTCTTCCAGGAGAAGGTGGTGTGGGTGGAGGCCAACAGTCCTCCACAGCTCCATCATTCACTACAGCTCCTTATTGCACTGTACTCGCTAAACCATGCAGACATTTGAGGGATCCAATCTGAATAATCTCACCAAATCCTTCTCACAACTAGAGATGAAACCATATGAAAATTGTATATCATTATACTGCTTAAAATTATCATTATTAGTATTAATGCAGCATTGTTAAAATGTGCTGAAAATGATCTGTACTGATACACCCCCAGAAATCATTTCACCAAGTTTCATTTTAAATTGGTGTATAAGCAGCATGTCTTTGAAATGCTTGCTTGCGTGTCTGTGTTACTGTAGATAAGGACAGGGGACCAGTAGCATTACTGGGTTGATTGCTGCATGTCCACTCTGTAAACAATGAGGCTGAAATATCTCCATTGCCTTACGCCATGTTTTCTTTGACCAAAAATACCCACGTTGCATGCTGTACTTGCATCTTGGAGACTGTTGCTAACTTTGATTACTGTAAGTCTTTCAAAGCGCAGTAATCAAACAACACAACCTTTTAATGACAACTGAAATCTGAGATGAACCATTGGAATTTTATCGTGTTTTACTGTGACGCCGATAACCATTTCGTCCCTGCTCAAAAATAACCTTAAAGGATAACTTCGGTATTTTTCAACCTGGGCTCTATTTCCCCATGTGTATGTGTGCGTATGATTCATGGGTACAACTCGTTCTAAAATTGGTTCAGTATTGAGGGAGGCGGATGCAGCCAGGAGCCGCAAAACAAGCTAAAACGGTAACGGGGGCAAATGCGTCCCGTATAAGTTTGCGCATTAAAAGTGCTTTTTTTCGCCACTGACTGGTTCAGATCGCCAGTGTTATCTCTGTAAATAGCATATTGTAGCGACCCTGGGGCAGTGGTGAGTGTGGTATGAGTGGAGTCAGTGTTGGAGCAGAGAGGGGAGGGCTGCCCCGCTGGGTACTGTAAGTGAGTATGTGTGTATGAAGTGTGTGTTATGCTAGAAGAGTCAGAGTTTGGGACAGAGTCTTTTACGTGCTACCCCCTGGAGTGTTACCGGAGGTTTTGGAGTACTCAAATAAACGGCCCTTTTTCCTGAACGCAAGAACAGGATGTGGCGCAACACCCCGTACAGCTTTCATAGGCTACCTTTGTCGGATGGCGAGATGCTGAAGTTGTGGCTAGTTGTGCTACAAATGGATTCTAACACTCTTGTCCAGACACTGCGCCTTGCAGACCATCTGGTCTGCAGTGCTCACTTCTCCCAAGATGACTACTGCCAGCCGAAGAAGAGAAGACATCCAATCCCGAAACACCTCTTCCTCAAGAAAACGGCTGTCCCATGAGCAGAGAGAGCTACAGACACAGTGGAGCAAAGCTCGTGATATCACACAGCCCAGAGGTAAGGGAAAGGCTAGAATGCTATTTACAGAGATAGCACTGGCGATCAGAACCGGTCAGTGGCAAAAAAAAAAAGCACTTTTAATACGCGAACTTATACGGGACGCATTTGCCCCTGTTACCGTTTTAGCTCGTTTCGTGGCTCCAGGTTGCATCCGCCTCCCTCAATACTGAACCAATTTTAGAACAAGTTGTACCTATGAATCATACGCACACATACACATGGGGAAATAGGGCCCAGGTTGAAAAATACCTAAGTTATCCTTTAAGACAAGATAACTGTTGTTTCACTGATGTAAACTTTACAAGCACTATAAAGCAATCAATTTTGTTAAAAGTAAACAGCATCAGTTTAAAATGAGTAATATTAGTTTTTATATAAACAAAAAGGATCTGAAGACCTTGTGGTTAACACACATTACATGTAACTGCATTGTTCATTATACTCTTGCGCTCTTCCCCCCCCCCCTTCCCTCAAAGGGATACTTTGACAATTTTCAACCAGCTGTGTCACTGTGTTGTGGGGAGTGTGTGCAGATGAGTGGCGTGAGGGCGACCCCCGTGCCAACAACAACAGGAACTCCCTGCCCGTGTCATGAGGAAAAATCTGCTGGATTATGTGAAATATGTAATTTTGCGTCCTCAGTTATGCGTTTCATGTCATCTGCTGATTTTTGGCTGGCAGATGGGTGGGGGAGCTTTGGAAGCTAGTGGCACAGAGGGCGCCTTAACATCTGCACATGCTCCCCACACAGCAGTGACACAGACCTGGTTGAAAATTGTAAAGTATCCATTTAATGTAAAGGCAAAATGTGAAAAACAAACATCAACAATATTAACAGTGAATCAAATGTGTATTTAAAAACTGGCTTAAGTCTTCTCCCAGATGTAACTTGGCCTATCAAGGCTGCTACATACATATGTGAAAGGGTCATTAAAAGTGCCAAACCCTCTGATAAACAGGTTCTCCAGCCCACACAGACTGTATGGTTGAGTCTCACTGCGTTCACCAAACCCCCATATAAAACTGCACCAGCAACAAGTTTTGACTGGTTAACTGTTCACTGCCTGCCCAGTAGGAAATTAGACTTTCAGCGAGCTAAAGGCCCAGATGTTTTTCTTTGGAGTTCATCAAGAAAAATAAAAGGCCAAAAATTTATTGGGTGACCAGAATTAGTAGCAATGAAAAAATAACTTTAGGACTATTTTAAAAAGTGTGTCTTTTTCAGATGCAAGGGGTTATGTGTATGTTCCACTATGCAGAAGTTACTGTATGAAATTATATGGCACAATTTACATACACACACACACACACACACACACACACACACACACAAAAAAACGTGCAGAAATAATATACACTGTAAAAATGACTGAAACTGTTCTGTGTCAAAGGTCCATCTTACTTGTAGAGGGAGACTCTCTCAGAGATGTTGTTTGCTATCAGCACAGCCACCACCAGCCCGTAGATGGCGATGATACCCGCCATGACCACGGGGATGATGGACTTCATGATGAGCTCTGGCCGCATCACAGACATGGCGGCGATGCCTGTGCCGCTCTTTGCTGTGCCATACGCTGCTCCTAATGCTACGTAAGAAAGGAGAGAGTTCCTGTTAATTCATGTTCAGATCAATCAGTGTTAATTCTTCTTTAAAAAAACAATTCCTGACAAAAGCAACTCAAACCAGACAAGATATGGATTTGGATGGAACTGAGTGAGAACAAGTGATCCAGTCGATCGATTTCAATTCTCTCTTTCAACATATTAGATCTGAGACACTGTGTAGGGACCCGATGTGCAGGTAACAAACAAACAGTAGAAGATGTTCGATTGCCAGTTTTCTCCCGCCCAGCCATAAATAACTGAGAAATTAAAATGATATATCAAAAAAAAAAGAAAAAAAAAAAAGAGGCGTCCTTGAAAAATCACACTAGTGCATCTATTTTTAAAGTTCCCTTACAAACCATCTCATTTTAGTAAGTAATTAACTGTTGTACTATGGAGCATTGCTAAACAACCTCGCCCACTTCAATACTTTATTTTGTGACTATTTTCATGACTAATGTCACAATTGGTAGGTTTCCTTTCTGCTCTGCTTTCATCCCATGTTTCACTGATAACTGCTTGTCACATATTTGTAATTTACACTGCACATCATTGGATGCATGTTGCCAGTTATGGTTTGTTCAGTATACTTGCACAATCTAAAATAATCTACAGTAACAGATTATTCTTGACATCAAGCTTTTCTTTTTTCTCTTATTTTTTGTTTTTGAGTCTGTTTTCTTTTTTATGTTCATGTTATCTGCTCTTAATTTAGTTTTCTTGTTGTGTGATGTTTTTAATGAAACGCAACTGAATAGTTTTGTATAGGAGAGGACTTTGTATCAGCCTCTTCCTTTTTCCTATGAGCTCTATTATCGTATGTCTATTACCATGTTTTAATTATGTGAACAAATAAACAATTAGAGGACTATAGTTCAGTTTTCATTTCATCAGAGAGGTGTTGATTGAACTATATTAGGCAGCCAGTTGTATGTCGGCCAGTAAATCACTTGTCTCATATTATCCTTCTTTCACCAAGCAACCAACATCACTTGGGTTGGTTATCAATTGGTATTATTTCAATTTCAAGGAGTCGAATCTCTGATCTGTGATGGGACAGAGTCAAGACAGCTTACATACTTATTTCACAAAACTTTGCTGTTCACAATTCACTTAATACAGTTTATGGAACCTGTATTTATGTGGGTCCGTGAACACAGCAGAATTGAAACTTTTTTTTTCTTCAGCACCTGTTTGTTGAGTTTCAGTCAAGAATAGATTAGTCGATCAGATTGTGGTTGGATCAATCAGTGTTGATCAGATCAGATCTATGGATTAGAGGAGCAGCTACTACAGCAAAGCAAAGTTCCTGTTGCTGATAAACAGGTTAGACTCAGAGCTGGACCACGGAGTGCACTGTTTCCATGTGAATGCAGCTGGTTTCATCTAGAGTAGGTTGGAAAAGTGACAGACAGCACTAACATGAGAGCATTGCTGTTCTATGAAATAGAGCGTTCTTTTTTTCCATATGAATTAACGAACAGTTAAGTTTCAATTTCATCGCGCCAGGTACTCTGCTGCTCCATGTGTCCCAAGACTACGCACTGCGCTCCGAGACTAAAAAACACTGAATAAGTCAATGGTATACTCTAACAAAGCTCCGAATAATTGGTCCAGCTTCAAAAATAAAAAATAAAATAAAATAAAATTGGGGGCGAATGCTGATGGTGATATGAATACACCAAATGTCACTATATATTTCAACCAAATGCCTCAAAATCAATATTGCAACAACCATGCAGGGTTAACCATCGGTGCTTTCATAAAATATTTTCACACTGAGATTTTTGATAAATAATAATCCGTTATGTGAACAGAATGACAAAGTGAGTAAAGGTAAGTTCAGACAATTACATCGCTTTACTGTAATGCAACCTTTAAAACCAGGAAAAGACAACACTTACAAAAATGTGACATCCAAAGTCTAAGATGATATCTCATCTCCTAACACAGTATTGATATAATATTGATATATTGCCCAGCCACCTGGAAAATCAGAACCAAAATTTATTTTTTTTTTTACCAGTGCCTGGTGTTTTGCAATTTTTATTTGGCTGTCATTTGGAACTGCTTTTCGGCAGTTACCTGCTTATCATGGAGACCGGCTAGAGCAAATGAATAAATACATCACACACTTACTCCACCACTTCTCACTTGCTGATGTGGGTGTGTTGACACTTCTGAAGGCTATGTACTTATCGACTACAAGCAATTGTTAGAAAGTATTGTGTGAATAAGCAACCCGGCATTTTCTCCAACAATTTTAACAGCTCTGCACCAAGCAGCTCTTTTCTTTATATTCAGGGAGGGAAAGGCCATACAAAAGAAGAATACCACAAAATTCAATGATGATTTTCTGATCCACATATATTTTCTGCAGTTCTGTTTTGCATAGAAGTAGAAACTAACTTTTGACCCCTCCCATTGCCAATACATGGTGGGCTGATTCTGCACTGCTCGCTTTGCCATTGTGCCTTAAAAAGGCAGTACATTTGCATCCCATTGATAATGAATAAGGAAGGACGTCACATGTCCAGTGGGTCTTGAGTCTAACACAGATGTCGCCTATGTTGCTTGAATTGCCTGGAGTGTTTACTAAGTATCAGCTTTGCTATCTCCTTTTGTAAACATTGCATCACTGTTTCCGCTTCATACAACTGTCACCTCAGAGAAATCCTGAACCGACTCCATTGTGAGCAGTCAAACAAATGTTATGACACTGTAACAGCACCCATGGAGATTTTACTGAGGGGCATAGTATTTTCTAATTCAAAGCTGTAAAGCCCAAATTATACTGTTGTCAAGGTGTGAGGGAAATATAGTAGAGCTGTGCTGTGCTATACAAGAGTAATAGTGTTTTCTTTTAGTGTCAAAATGACAATGCAAGAAAAACAGGTTACAGCTTTAACAATTACTAAGAAGAACTTTTTTTTTTTACCTACATCCATTCTGTATGTTATTACAATTGCACGACCTAAATGAATGAACCACAACAGTTCAAGCAGGTCAGAGTTTGTGCAGGACAGTCCCAACATGTGGGTGATTTTTAGCAGGTATGCATGCACTAAGAAAGAGACACCTCTGACAAATGTAATAAGAGGTTTTAAGACCTACAAATAATTTAGATTTAAAGGTCCAGTGTGTAGGATTATGAAGGATATACTGGCAACAAGGGAATTAAATATAATAAGTATGTTTTCATTAGTTTATAGTCACCAGAAAATAAGCATTGTTGTGTTTCTGTTACTTTAGAATAAGAACAGTATAGGGAGCGGGTCCTTGTCCATAGAGTTGGCCATGTTTCTACAGTAGCCCAGAACAGGCAACCCAAAAACTGGCTCTAGGTACAGCCATTCACATTTTTGCGTCACGTTTTTTTACTGGTTAAAAATCACTGGGTCCATTTGTTTCAAAGAGGAAGAGACCTCTGCGGTTATTTTGCTCCTGGTAAAAACTTCCTGAGCAAGGGACACTGAAGGAATCCTAACTGGGAGTTCATGCATTGTACATGGGAGAAGTTTCAGCTCGTCGCAATTGGTATTCCTCTCCGCTGGATGCCACTAAATTCTACACCCTGTTCCTTTTTACTTACAGATGCACTAAACCAATTGGGTGTTGGCCAGTATGTGACATTTATTTTCAATGTTATAATAAAATGTAGTGTTTCTATAACATTAATTCAACGGGCCACAGCAATCCATGGCCTTATATTACATAATAATAAATGCAAGTTTCAAGCAGTGTGGTATACAGATTTAGAATGTAGTACAGCGAGAGCACTGGTACTGGATTGGTACATAGCCTGGGTTTAAGTATTGTAATTGCAGCAAGACACAAAAAGTTCCATCTGTGCCTTTCTAGATGTACTATCATCCCAAAAAATATGAGCCAGCTGTCACTCCACTCAGTGAACACACTCCACAACGTGCCACATCACGATGTCATTGAAAAACCATCAATAATATCCACATTATGGAGACAGCTGTCTGTAGGAATTGACATCACCTGATTGACTGTAGCACTGCCAAAAAATAATTGCAAGAGCACAATGTATTTTCCGTGATTTCCTCTGTGACAGATTGGGTGTACCCCGCCTCCCGCTTTGAGTGCATGCTCAACATGAATGAATGGATGGATTTTCCCTTTAATGTCCCACATTGACGTTTAGGCCGTGATGCTGGCCCTCTTGTAATGCAACGCATCACAACCAAAGAAAAACATGGCTGGATCTAATCCCAACAAGAATCATATTTATCCTGCAGTACATGACGATCTGGACCTTCCTGTGCTGCAAAATAACTTCATTATGACAGATTAAAGACGGCCCTGAACGAGACAGCTGCCACCTCAGTGAGGGTCTGCGTCACCAACCAGCAGCTAGACAGCATCACAGCTTGATATGATATAACCAGGCTGATACAGGAGGTAAGCTAGCCACAGTGTTAGCAGGGCGAGGAGTTAGTGGTCAGCAGCTTGATGTCGGTGGAAACCTCCCCCCGCCTTCGCCTCGCATCCCTGGCAGGTGTGTGAGCCGTGACCGACTCAGCTAACACCCAACACCGCTTCTCTAAACACAGCCTCGATGTTGTCATTTCTAATACCGTCACACGGATTTAACGTTTGGCTAAGCTAGGTGGTAATTAGCGTTATAACAGTTAACGGTAAAAGACATTGATGTCAGATGAAGGAGCTGGTGTAGTTACCGCTGAAGACCATGGCCGCAGAGGCTCCCATCACAGCGAAGAAAGGCGAGTACTCGGGGCTCTCCTCAGACATTCTCGCACTTTTCTCGGGGCGATACAGCGACAAGGCAGTCTAGCTTCTTTTCTTAGGCTCTCCCCTTTTTTCCCACCGTCGGCTTTAGACAGGTTAAAACACTGAGAGGGGGCGACAACGTAGCTGCCAGCAAGAACACCGGTGTAGAAGAGGAAAATGGCGAAACGGAAAAAGTCACGTGACCAACCATCTCGGAAGAGTCCATTGGTGTGGACACGGGGGTGCTCGACGCAAATAAGCTTTAAATATCCAACCGTTGTTGTTTATCGCATTGTAAAATATAATTTAGCAATCATTATCATTTGATAGTAATTTTACAGTGATCATATGCCACATCAGTGTATAATACCACAATATATCATATGAGTAGTTTGATAGTGTTTGTATTGTGGTATGTTCTGCTGCAAGTGCATGACTGCAGTTGAAACGCTAGTAGTCACTACATGCTGGCGTATTAATTATTAGGTATCAAATAGATAGTAAAATCGACCATAAACACTGTGTTTTACTCTGTAATTTAAAAACACGACAACAAATAAACAAGCTTAATATAGAGACTATCACAAAGGACGATAACAGTGTCAATATCCAGCACACATCCATCCTACACAACCATACAGCAGCATGTGTTGTATGTTGTTTCCACCATGCATTAACCTGGCATGAAGAGGTTAATTTATATCAACATTAGACTTTCTTAACCTGTCAAACAGCCTAAGATGGCCCTGATTGAGTGACCTGAGGACACATCTCGGAGCTGCCTTTGTCAAGGTGACAGTGAGTCATCTTAAAGGACATGTCCCCTCATAATTCACCTCAGATCATTTGTATGCCTCTTTAGGGCAGATTTTGCTTTGAAATTACATTTCACCAGATCCAATTTTACCTTCTTTATGAATTTAGTTTCCTTACATGTATGTGAGTTTGTTGTGACCTACATATTTTCTTATTGAGGTTTGTATCCTGAGACCACCTCTGGATGGAAGGATGTTTTCTTTCTGCACAAGAGCAGCATGTATTGATCTTTATCCTTTAATATTAATAATAATAATGCACTCTCATGCCTTTTTTACCTTTAAAGTTCAGAAAAGAATCTGAATTTATTTTCCAGTGTGAATTAGAAAATGGTCGGCAGGCCACCCAGCACTCTATTGAGGGCCAGCTTGGGCCCACGGGCCACAAATTAAGAATCACTGCTCTGCATCATCAGATTGAATGAGAGGGATTTGCCTTGGTGAGGTGTGTCAGTAAAACTTGCCTGACAGGGAAAGCTAAGTTTTAATGTCACTCCAGCTCCAATTCCCAAGGGATTTTATAAATCCTCGAATGGGGTCTGCATTTCATTTCTTATATTGTTATCCAGTTGATGCTGTGGTCTCCACCCAAGGCACCAAAACAGGACAGCACCGTGACATTCCCCCAATTATTTATTGTCTGTATACTCTGGGTGAAACACTCACACTACCAGGTGACATGCACTATATGTACATGTACAGCGAGGCAGACACTGCATGGTACAATAACATATTTTAGAGGATTAAAGATGAAAACACTCAAATGACTACTCATGTAAAGTTTTTCACTGCTCATCACTCCGTCAGGCCTGTAACTGGTTCGATTGTGTCATGAGAATGTACTTAAATCTTATACAGGAATGAAAAGTGAAAACAGAGCAGACAGCTGAAAATGTGCAGCACATGCACACATGACTGTCAGCAGCCTCTCTGCCGCATTTCATAAAGAAAAGCTATTAGTTCTGGTCAGAGCTTAATCATGTGACCTGTTCTTGCTCCAAGTACAATCATGTTCTCACACAAAGAGGAGAATATTGACCTTTATGGGAAAAGACAAAAAATAACTTGAGATTTCAGATTTCTTTAAAAACACATGAAAAAAGAACATTAACAAAAACAATATAGGTAATAGAATATGGAAGGAGGCTGAAACTCTAAAATGCTTATCATGGGTCTCCCATAGTTTTTATGAAAGCAATCAGACAAAACTAAAACTGCAATTTTGAATACAAAATTAAGTCATTATCACTAAACAAAAAAGTCACATACGAATATGAAAAGTAATATGAACCCAAGTAATTACAAACACAATAAACAGGTAATTTACAAGAAAATAAATGAGAGTAAACCTCACCTAAAACCAGTTTTGTGTTATATTTTTTGGTGCTTTTTAAATACTGACAGGGACTGACCTGAGACTGAGACTTTGTACACGGATTCACAAATGTGACTTTCTTTTGCTTTGCTGCCTGTGTTTTTTTGAAACAAGTTGAATCATTTTAATAATGCAGCAATAAAACTGTTAGTGATTGGACAGATTACAGAATATGTGGTATCATCCTACTCAACTGGAAATCAACAAAGCCTCCCTCATTTATACAATGGATAAGAGGGATTATGAGTACTCTTAGTTAGTACTCTTAATTAGAAAAAAATAAGATATTCATCAGGAAGATCTAGAGTTTTTTAAAATATATAGGAGCCCTGCCCTATGCTTGAGTCAAACCTTAATATCATACTGATGCCCCAGTGAGATGAGACAATAAAGAAAATAATTTACAATCTGACTTCAAACTTGCATCATGCACACATTTTTTTTTCTTCCCTGTTTGTCTTGTTGTGTATATCAATTTATCTGTTTGTATTAACATGTATTAACATGTTAATACAAACTCTGCTAGTTTAATGTAGATACATGTATGTTGACCTTGGAAGGGACCTTAACTGTGACTCTACACATTTTCCTCTGAATAAAAAAACAAAACAAAATAAAGTCAAGTAAGTAAAAGTCAAGTCAGTAAAAAAATAAACAACTGTGTTGTAAGTTTGTCCACAGCATGAAGTTTAAGTCCATTTTTTGTACATAGCATAGCTGATTTCCATTCAGACAGAACGGAAAAGACAGTGACAGCAAAAATTTTATTTGGAAATAGTTTGTTAGACTGATTTAATACTAGAAGTATGTATATATAAATCAGGAGCAGCTTTATCAATCAAACTCATCAGACACACACAAGATTCCCGGAGCTGTGCCATACACCCTAAATGTTTTTAAATATTACTATAATACCACTTTTACACAATTTAACTCTCTGAATTTAACTCACAAAACTGATTTTGTGTTCTATGACTTATTTGTTTTTCATGTAGTGTTTTATTTTAATTATTTCTATTTTCAAATAAGCCATGGCATGTCAATTTCGCTGCAGAAGAACACCTTCTGGAGCCATTTTAGTTGTAAGGCTTTTTCATATTATATTTAATTTTTATCTAAAAAAAAAAAAAAGACATTTACAAACAGATTAACAAACATACCTGACCCACATACCAAAAAAAAAGTCAGACTTGACCGAAATAAACACAAAATTTAGCCTGTTACATAAACAGAAAGAAAAAATGGCTGAGAATAACAAATTTTACTTGTAAGGCTGAATTTAATTTTCCCAAACAGATAAATACATTTTTAGATGTTTGAGGCAGCCAAATATAAACTGCAGGATATCTAACTCAGTGAAATAGGCCTATTGAATATGCATATGGCCTTATAATTTTAATCTGCTGGCTGATTTACTGACCAGCCAGGGATTCCATCTGGATTTCTCCCTTCCTCAAAATGAGAGCTCCACTGACACATTTAATTAATTTAATTAAACAATTATAATTCATGATAAATTACAAACTGAATCTGTGAACAGTTTGTTTCAACACCATTATGACCCATGCATCAGCTGATACTCAGCAAAAAAAAAGAAAGTAAAAATGATGCTCTTAATTCCTCTCCTGACCACTTGATGGCGCCAAATCTAATCTCAGCACAGGTATTGAAAGGCTTTGCTCCAGTAGTGAATTGTGACATTTCATCTCTATTGCTGCCTTGTTGAGATTTATTCCAACAGAACAGTTATGAGGTTGTTGTTTTTTTTGCTGTGATCTATGTCTTTAGCTGTATTACAAACACCCTTAAATGAAGCAAAGGCTACAAGGGTTGGAGGGTTGGAACTTTGGTTTGTTTTAGCTAAGGTTAGCGCTTTTTTGCCTCTCTACAAGATCTTTATTTTGTGCTATTACCACAAAATTACATACTCTACCAATTTATTTCTCCCAACACTGCGTCAGTTCATGCATCACCATCGTGCACATACTAAACTCATATCCAAATATGTTTTAATTTTACAGTAAATTCACTTTGTTGTTAAGGGGGGCATATCCCTCCAACTTACCCAAACTAATTACTTTTCTCATCTACATTTCTTTTAAAGGTACAGTTTGAAGGATTTACATGGGTATACTGGCAGAAATTAAATACAATGAGTTTGTTTTCTTTCTTTCTTCCTTTCTGTCTTCGTTAGAATGAGCTGTTTATATCAACATAAGGAGAAGGTCCACATCCACAGAGATCACCATGTTGCACTGCCATGTTTCTACAGTAGCCCAGAACGGACAAATCAAAGACTGGGTCTAGATAGGGCCATTTTTGTTTTTTCATTGGCCATTGTAGTTAGCAGCCCCTCTGCGATAGGAGCATTTGAAAAACACTGATTTTGTTTTTTGTTTTTTAAATGTGAAACTGCTTTATTCAATGCATTTATCATTTTTAATCACCTGGTCTGTTTGTTTTGAAGGGGAGGAGACCTCTGCGGATAGTTTGGCTCCCAGTAAAAACCTCCTGAACAATGAACACTGAAGGAATTCTAACCGGAAGAAGTTTCAGCTGGTTGCAATCTGCAATCCTGACCAGTAGATGCCACTATATCCGCCTAAATCTTACACACTGAATCTTTTAACAGTGATGGAGGAAATATTCAGATCCTTTACTTAAGTCGAAGTATTAATACCACAGTGTGAAAAAAAGTGTTCCCAAAACAGACCTGCATTGAAAATGTTACTTCAGTAAAAGGATGTAAGCATAATCAGGAAAATGTATTTAAAGTATTTAAAGTACTAAAAGCATAAAAATGTCTCCTGTGACTGCTACATTATTATATATTGTATCGTTAGATTATTAGCCTATCACTTACATTCATGTAAAAGCAGGTTTATACTGTTGAGCTCATTTTTAAAGTATTTTACACTGGACCGCAACAAATAATTTCCCTTATAGATAAATAATAATATATTTATTTAAAAAGCGCTTTTAAAGCAGAGTTAAAAAGTGC